AAAGGTCCCGGGTTCGATTCCGGTCAAGGGCATGTACCTTGGTTGCGGGCACATCCCCAGTAGGGGGTGTGCAGGAGGCAGCTGATCAATGATTCTCTCTCATGGATGTTTCTAACTCTCTATCCCTCTCTCTTCCTCTCTGTAAAAAAATCAATAAAAAAAATATGTTTTTTTAAAAAGTGGTAACAGATGTAACATGGTGGCCACTACATAAAATACAGAGAGATAAAAAAGATACCCAGAGTGCTCCTTAACTGGGAGGAGGGGAACCCCAAGATGGAGACAATGGAGAGAGAATTCTACTCTGGTGGAGCCGCCTGGGAGAGCCCGTCTGGAATGGCGCTGGCCCCTGACTGGCACTGATCCTGCGCCCACAGGCCCAGAGCACAGGCTCCGGCAGGGCCTGACCCACCAGGACGAGCCCTCCCCCCCCCCCCCCCCAGGCAGCCGCCGTTAGTGCAGCCTCAGACCGGCGACTTCGTCCCGCTGAGCTTGGGGTCCCCCCTGTGATGGGGAAGGGGATCACGGGAACCAAGGAATGGGACGGAGTTCCCCATTTCGGACGCTGTGGAGAGAGCAGTAACGTCAGCCAATTCAGGAGCATCAGGGATGGGAGCGAAGGATGCAAAGAGGAAGCACTAGGAAGGCAAAGAGATCTTCGGGAGCACACTGCCTTCCCCCGCCTGCGGGATGGAGGCGGGGCCGGTCCTAGACCTCAAGAGGCAGGGAGACCCCAGGGACACTTAGTTTCAAGTACTTAACGCTGTGTCCTTGCCCCTCTGTGTCTGTTTCCTCTCTGTCACAAGCAACAGTGCTGAGCACCCACTAATGGTTTTATGTACAACAGCTCATCTAGAGCCACAGCAACCCTGGGTGGAAGGGGTAACTCTGCCCGTTACACGGATGAAAAACGGAAGCTCAGAGCAGACAAGTAACTTGCCCAGGGTCATACAGCTAGGCAGTGCCCAGGCTGGTGTCCTGCTCTTTTCTCCCTGACCTTTTCTTCCAACCCCCCTCAGAAATGCCTGGGAATCTTCTCATCGTCAATACCCAGCTCCGGAAACACAGATGCACACAGCCCGCCTCTTGGTGCCTCTGCCCATTTCTCTGTACTGTGGCTGCTCCGTGGCCTTGTCTGGGGGTCCAGCTTCCAGTCTCCCACACTCCCCTCCACACCCAGCTTCCAGTCCATGGCCCACTGTCATCCGCTTGCACTCTTGCCAGTGATGTAAACTTTGTTTCTCACCTTCCAAGCAAATTTCTGAATGCGTCCAACTGTCATTTTTCTCCAAGCCTTCACCAAAGCAGCCACGGTGGCAGAAGGGAGACGGGAAAGAATCACGCTGGCTAATCCTTACACAGCGTGTCCTGTGTGCCAAGTGCTAAGTGTTTCCCATATTGTAATTCATTCCAGCCTCCAGCACTCCGGGGGAGGTGCTATCGTGCCCACTTGTGGATGAAGACAGTGGGGTGAACTAAGGTTAAATCATTCACCTACCCCCACAGCACTCCGCTGATTAAATTGAGGAGCCTTGATCGAACCCAGGCAACCTTATTCGATCTCAGCGCCCACGTCTGCGGCAGTGAGCTGTCTGCCCAGTGCAGAGGAGGTGGGGCCCTTTTCCCGCTCTCCATCACCCACAAATACGTGGCTCCTTCAGCCCTGGGCCTAGCACTGCTTCAGCCACTAGTGGGGATACTTCAAACAAACAAGCAAACAAACAAAAAACCCACCTCTGAGGACATGCTTAGAGAGAGAGAGAAATATCCATCAGTTGCCTTCCGTATGTGCCCTGATTGGAACTCACACTGGCAACCTTTCAGTGTTCAGGATGACGCTCAACCAATGAACCTCTCTGGTTGGGCCAGTGGGGATAATTTAAAAGAAGTCCAGATCCTCACTGCATTAGGGGGCTGACAGTATCACTCGGGAGATCAATAATATTAATATTAATAATGATAAAAATAGCTTACATTTAAAACTATTAATATATATATGTTACTGATTTCAGAAAGGAAAGGAGTGGGAGAGAGATAAAACATCAACAGCCCTAGCTGGTTTGGCTGAGTGGATAGAGCGTCGGCCTGCGGACCCAAGGGTCCCAGGTTGGATTCCGGTCAAGGGCACATGCCTGCATTGCAGGCTCAGTCCGATATGCAGGAGGCAGCCATTCATGATTCCCTCATCAATGATGTTACTATCTCTCTTCCTCTCCCTTCTTCTCTGAAATATATATATATATATATATATATATATATATATATATATATATATATATCAACAGCTGCCTCCTGCATGCCCCTACTGGGGATTGAGCTCCCAACCTGGGCATGTGCCCTGACCAGAACAAACCCTGTCCTCCTGAAGTATATATAGGTCAACGCTCAACCACTGAGCCACCATGGCCAGGCTTACTTTTTCAGCTATTATGTATTATCTGGACATTTTACGTATTCATTTAGTCCTCCAAACAACACCATGAGGTGGAAACTACAATTATCCCCATTTTACTGAAGGACATGGGAGAACATAGTATCAAACTAAATTCATACAAAAGAAAGTATTGAGTCAGATGGGAAGCTTGGCAACTGGATGGCAGAGCCTTGAGTCTTACCTGTGACCCTTCCTCCTGCCTTTCTTTCCGCCCCAAGATCTTCGGGCCTGGCTCTTTCTGAGTAAGTGGGACGAGTCTCTTCTGTTTGCCAGTTGGCCCTTCCTCACCGAGGCCCTGGTCTTCCTCCCTCCCGCTCCCTCAGCCCTGCTGAGGAGGCCCTGGCCGCTCACTCCAAGGCATCTGGGTTGTGAGCTGGGAGCTCAAGCAGAGGAGGGAATGGGAACCCCAAGGGGACTCCCTGGTCCCAGTCCAAGCGGCCTTTACTCTCAAGGCAAAGGTCTACCAGCAGCTCCCAATGAAGGCAGGGCCTGAGCTGGTTCTCCCAGGCCTTGCCTGCCCCTCGGCATGCAGCATCAGCTCAGACTACCAGTTTGCATCCTGAGGACGGCAAGCAGTGCCAAGGCAGGGTCTAGGCTGCAGTAGATGGGGCTCCTGGCCAGTAGCAGCTGGGACCAGAGCCTAGGGCTGTGGCAGAAAGAGCCAAAGTTTCCCCAGCCCCTCCTCACATCTACCAAGACCCTTACTCCCGGCCCAGGCAGGACCCACGCCCTCCCCACTCCTGGGGGTCCCAGGGGACAGGTCCTGGTATGCCTATTCCCTCCCTCCCACCTTCCCTCTCCCATTCCCCAGGCAACCAGAACAGACGCATCAAGGAGAAGGACCTGGCAGCTGTGCAGGGAGAGACTAATGGCCCGGAAGGAAGAAGGAGGGGCTGGAGAGAAGAGGCGGTGGGGATGGGAGCCTGCGCCTGGGCGTTGGCCCTCCTCAGAGGACAGACACACAAAGAGGGGAGGCTGCTCTGCCCTGCAATGCTGAGGGAGCTGGCCGCCAGGGAGCCTCCCTCCTCACCGCCTCAGCCAGACAGCCCACCCGGAGCCCCAAACCTGCCTCCCAGATGCCCAGCTCTTGTCCTCAGGGTCAACCCAAGGCAGACTTGTCTCCCGGAGAGCCCTGGAGTCCCCACGGCAGCAGCCCCCTGGCTCCTGGCAAACGCCGAAGGTCTCAGCATCCTGGCTCCTGTAGACCCTGCGAGCTGCCCCTGTCCGCTCCCCGCAGCCCGTGCCTGCGACTGGAAGCCATTTGACATGCAAAGGCCGGACCTCAGCCTTCCAGCTAACTCCAGGGGGCGGGGGGAGGAAGGAGGGAGGTATGTGTGTAATGTGTGTGCACATAGGTATGCAGTGCTACCATGCATATGGTCTGCCTGTGTGCACAGGCTTGTGCATCTGCTCTGTGGCCTCCTTTCTCAGCTTTCAGTCCCTGAACCACTGGGGATGGGCACCTTCTCTTTCCCCATCTCTTCCCCCATCCAGCCCCACCCATCCTTGGGTACCCGCACCTCCCTCATACTGGAAACCGGTTCCTGTCAGTCCATCCATCTCTCAGGCTTGGCAGCAGCCGCCACCCTCAGCCCCCTCCCCTTCCTACCTCAGGAATCGGCCTGGTTCCCGTAAGGCCATGACTGCGCAGCAGTTGGTTGGGGGAAGGGAGCATCCAGCAAAGCCAGACAGCTCAGCTTCTGGCAGGACACGGATCCTGCCAGCGTGTCTCAGAACTGGGCCAGTCACCCTCAGCCCCCTCTGATGTGCCCACCCTGCCAGGGCCTGGATGGGCCCGGGTTTGGGAGCTGTGTCCTCAAAGCTGAGAAGCAAGCAGGCAGCCCCTGGCCGAGTGTCCGGGGAGGAGGAGGGAGGAGAAGTGGCCAGTGCATTAGCCGCAGCGCTGGCGCCGAGCAGCAGCCCGCACCGGGCCCTGGGGATTACAGAGAGGCAGGCGGCCTTCCCCACCCCCTGAACCCCGTCCCCCCTCCTGTTCCCCAAACCTCGCTGGGGATGGTGACAAAGGAGGTAACTGACAGCAGGTGAAGGCAGAGCGCAGCCTTCAGGGGAGAGTGGAGACACGGGCTCTGGGGCCTAATTCAGACCAGCTCCCCATCTCCCTAAGCCACCTCCTCCGTCCTGGCCAGAACCCCTCCCTCAGTCCTCCTACTGCCCCCCAGTTTCTACCAGGCCTTCAGGCGGGGACCCCGGCTCCAACCCGCCCTCCCTTCCTATCCTCCAGCTTCGGATGCTTGCAGAAAAGCGCTGACCTCCAACCCCGCCTGCCCGGGGCCTGCAGGCGCCATCCCCGCTCGCTTCGCTACCAGCAACAGGGGGAACCGAGCGGGCCGGGCGCCAGCGACCAGGGAGGGAGGAGGGCGGGCGCTGCCGCCGCTGCAGGGTGGGGCGCCCCCCTCCCCACTTAGCCGCACGGTCAGGCCAGTGGGAGGAGCCGCCCGGGCCCCCGCGGCGCCTGCGGGACTATAAAGCCGCCCCGCCGGGTCTGCGGCCCCGGGACCGGCTCTGCGCGCGGACACTGCCCGCCCGTCCTCGGTCCTCGGTCGCCATGAGCCACTCGTCGGGCCTGCGGGCCAGCAGCATCAGCTCCACCTCCTACCGCCGCACCTTCGGGCCGCCGCCCTCCCTGTCCCCCGGGGCCTTCTCCTACTCGTCCGGCTCCCGCTTCTCGGGCAGCCGCCTGCTGGGCTCGGCGTCCTCCGGCTCCTCCGGGCGCCTGGGCAGCTTCCGCGCGCCCCGCGCCGGCGCCCTGCTGCGCCTGCCCTCGGAGCGCCTCGACTTCTCGCTGGCTGAGGCCCTCAACCAGGAGTTCCTGGCCACGCGCAGCAACGAGAAGCAGGAGCTGCAGGAGCTCAACGACCGCTTCGCCAACTTCATCGAGAAGGTGCGCTTCCTGGAGCAGCAGAACGCCGCCCTGCGCGGCGAGCTGAGCCAGGCCCGCGGCCAGGAGCCGGCGCGCGCCGACCAGCTGTGCCAGCAGGAGCTGCGCGAGCTGCGCCGCGAGCTGGAGCTGCTGGGCCGCGAGCGCGACCGGGTGCAGGTGGAGCGCGACGGGCTGGCGGAGGACCTGGCGGCGCTCAGGCAGAGGTCAGGGGGCAGGGCGGCCGCGACCTCGGGGAAGCTGCTCCCCTTCTTCTCCCCCCCCCCCCCCCCCGGGAGGTGCTTCCAGGCTCAACCCGGGAGGGCGCGTGCTGGCAGCATCCTGCCCTCCCTCTGCCACTGGGCTGAGTCTCTGGGGAGGGAACGTGCTGTGTCTCTTCGTGTCTAAAGCGGCCTCCGCCCAGCTCCCAGCCCATTAGACGGAAAATGGGGCGCGCCCATCAGGCAGCCTGGAGACACCCCCCCCCCCCGGGAGTCCTGGGCAGCACCCTAGATCCTAGGGGGGATGGGGGAGGAGTGCGGGAGGATGGTGACCCTGCAGCTCAGACTCTGCCCACTCTTCCCGCCAGGCTGGAGGACGAAACGCACAAGCGGGAGGATGCTGAGCACAACCTCGTGCTCTTCCGCAAGGTGAGCCCGGGCCCCGCGTGGATTATCCGTCCCCCTGCCTCTACCCCAGCCTGTGTGTCCAGGGCAGCATCTGTGGGTTCGGGGAGGCCATCAGAAGCCTTCAGAGGCTCTTCCTTGTGCTGAGCAGTCCCTCTCTGCTCTTGAACCCCCACTGTACCCCCTGAAGGACGTGGACGATGCCACCCTGGCCCGCCTGGAGCTAGAGCGCAAGATTGAGTCTCTGATGGATGAGATTGAGTTCCTCAAGAAGCTGCATGAGGAGGTGGGTGAGCCCGGGAATCAGGGGGGAGGCTTCGGAGGTTGGGGGGTGGGGTCTCTTTGGAGCCAGGAGGCAAGCCCCGGAGGAGACTGGCAGGTGCAGCGGAGGAACAGGCCTGGGGAAGCGAAGTGAGGTTCTGTGGACACAGCCCCGCCACCTCCCACAGGTGGCTTGTCTCCCGCCCACGCGCCACCTAGTGGCGAACGGCGGAGCTGCACCCGGCAGCCTGGCCGCTGGCTCCGTGCAGGCTCCGGCTGCGCCGCCCGGGGCGCCGCATTCCTGGCGCCCCCTTGTGTTCACTCAAGTGTCTGTGCTCTTTCCTGTGCGCCAACGCCACGGCGCGCGTGGGATCCGCACGGTGCACTCGACGTCTCGTCGTCCCGGGCGGCAGGAGCTGCGGGACATGCAGGTGAACATGGAGAGCCAGCAGGTGCAGCAGGTGGAAGTGGAGGCGACCGTGAAGCCCGAGCTCACGGCGGCGCTGAGGGACATCCGCGCGCAGTACGAGAGCATCGCCGCCAAGAACATGCAGGAGGCGGAGGAGTGGTACAAGTCCAAGGTGGGCGAGCCCCGGGGGCTGGGGAGGACCCCAGGTGGGGGGGGGGGCGCTGGGGCAGCGGCGCGCCCAGCCGGCCCACACCGGGCTGCCCCCGCCCCGCAGTACGCGGACCTGTCGGACGCCGCCAACCGGAACCACGAGGCGCTGCGCCAGGCCAAGCAGGAGATGAACGAGTCGCGACGCCAGATCCAGAGCCTGACGTGCGAGGTGGACGGGCTGCGCGGCACGGTGAGCTCCCGGCTGCTCGCCGGCAGGGGGGAAGGGGGGACAGTGCAGGGGTCCCCTCTCTGACCCGTCCCCCCCCCTCCCCAAGAACGAGGCGCTGCTGCGGCAGCTGCGGGAGCTGGAGGAGCAGTTCGCCCTGGAGGCCGGCGGCTACCAGGCGGGCAACGCGCGCCTCGAGGAGGAGCTGAGGCAGCTCAAGGAGGAGATGGCGCGGCACCTGCGCGAGTACCAGGAGCTCCTCAACGTCAAGATGGCCCTGGACATCGAGATCGCCACCTACCGGAAGCTGCTGGAGGGCGAGGAGAGCCGGTGGGGCGGGGCTGCCGGGGGCGGGGGTGGTCCGGGAAGAGGTGTGTGGGTTCAGGGCTGGGCGGAGGAGCTGACCGCTTGCTTCGCCCCCAGGATCTCCGTGCCCATCCATTCCTTTGCGTCTTTTAACATAAGGACGACCGGTGAGTCCCCCACAGCTGGCCTCCCACCGGCCTGCCCCCTTGTCCTCTGCTGCCCTGACTCTTGCTATGGCTCTGCCCAGGGGTGGTGTCTCCCTGCGAGCTATGGAATCCCGGTCCACTCTGTCCTTCTGCTTAAGTCCTGCCGCTCCCCTCACCGTCCGTGTGAGGGCTTAAAGGAAGGTAATCGCCAGGCCTCTGCCCCCCTCCCCTGCTTTTCCCAGCGCCCGAGGTGGAGCCTCCGCAGGACAGCCACAGCCGGAAGATGGTTCTGATCAAGACCATTGAGACCCGGAATGGGGAGGTGAGATGGGGCCCTTGGGACCGGGACCCCATCGTTTCCAGGCTTGGCTGCAGCTGACCTTAGGATACTGTGGGTTAGTGGTTCTGGGGGTGGGAGGGAGGCAGAGAAGGTAGTCGGGTAGATTGGAGCCTCAGCGTTTTATGCCGGAGGGAGCTGGGAGGAGGGTGGTACTGAATGGTGTGCTCTTCCCATGCCTTCCCCCAGCAGGTGGTGACAGAGTCCCACAAGGAGCAGCGCAGTGAGCTGGACAAGTCCTCTACTCACAGCTACTGACCCCCTTGGTGCAGAACTCCCTGGCCCTGCCCTCGGCCTACTCAAAGCCCATACCCTAAGGCCAGCCCTGAATTAGTCTCCTCTCCATCTGCATGCATCTAGGAGGTGTACCCGTTGCCCCTGCCCCTTCCCTGGCCTCTAGCCAAACCCTACACGGGCAGCGTAGCTGAGCCTCTCCCTGCCCTGAATCAAGTGACCCATATATTCCCCTTTTCTGACCTTGGCAAGAGGCCAATGATTCCCAAGTCTACTTCTGCCACAACCCCACGATCAGGGGCGGGCCAGGGTCTGAGTTTAACTTATGAATCAAATAAAACTGCTGTCACAGAAACCTCTGTCGTGCCTTTGTGTCCGTGGGAGTGGGGGTACCTGTGAGGAGGAGGCTCAGCAGTATTCTCTCCTTGTCTCCAGCCATTTCTCTTCTGCTTCCCACTGTCCGTGCATCCCACTAGGAGGCTAGATGACTCCTGTCTGCCTTTCTGGCTTTTCTCCTTCCTCTCTGTCCATTCCCTCCAACTCTGTTCCCCTCTGCAGCCCTGAATGCCCAGTTGCCTCTGGGTGTCCCACGGGCCCACAGATTCGACATGTCCCAAACTGAGCTCATCTCCTTCTCTACCATCTGCACTCATGTTCTTCCTTCTGGATTCCCCGCCTTAGAAGAAGGCACCACTAGACCCTCTATTGCCAAAATCAGAATTCAACTCATCTTACACCCTTTTCTTCGCCTCCCCTCCCCAGGCAATTCTGTTAATTTCTTTCTTAGTAAAAGGCGAAAGATTTATGCGATCTGAAGAGAAACCGGTTTCTTTCTTAATTCATTCAAGCCTGTCTGATTCTCCCCATCGGCCCTGCCACCATTCTAGTCCAGGCCAGCATCATCTCTGGCCTGGGTCACACTCTGCCTCAGCAGTCTCTCCCCTCGCCTGTCCCTGCCATCCCCTTAAACCGATCCACACACAGCCAGCAAATCAGACTGCCACCACCACCCCTCCCCCCACTTGTAAAAGTCCACTTCTGCCCTGGCTGGGTAGCTCAGTTGGTTAGCAGCGTCCCGATATGCCAAGGTTGTGGGTTCAATGTGGTTCAATCTCCAGTCGGGACACATACTAGAATCCAAAGAACAAGCATAAATAAGTGGAAAAACAAGTCAATGTTCCTCACCCTAGCCGGTCTGTCTCAGTGGATAGAGCATCAGCCCACAGACGGAAGAGTCCCAGGGTCCATTCAGGTCAAGGGTGTGTACCTCGGTTGCAGACTTGATCCCCAGTCCTGGTTGGGGCACACATGGGAGGCAACCAATCGATGTGTTTCTCTCACATGGATGTTTCTCTCTCACCCCCTCCCTTCCACTTTCTCTAAAAATCAATGGAGAAATATCCTCAGGTAAGGGTTGATAAAAACAAAACAAACTGGTGTTGTTCCTCTCTCTCTCTCAAAATCAATAAATAAATTAAAAAAAAATACTTAAAATCTACCTCTGGGTTTTAAACGATCTTCACTCAGTTACAGTGCTAGGTGAAGGAAACAAGCTAGAGTCCCCTCTCAAGAAGTTCACGGTCTGGGGTTGGGTAGACAGAACTAACAAGAGAACTCCGGCCTGCTGTGAGTGCTGTGCCCGGGGAAGGAGATGGATTGCAGGAATGCAAAGAGGAGCAACTCACACAGCCTCGAGGTAAGGCTTCTCAAAGAAGTGCCATCACACGGAGCACCCACCGAGGAGCAAACAGGCGTTATTCAGGGGAAGCAGGGAGAGGAGGACGATCCAGGTAAATGTCAGCCAAGAGATAAAGGAGCAAGTTTGGAAATTAAAAAATATTCCTATAATGCTGGAGCGCAGGACAGAAAGGGAGGAATGGTGTTGAGGTTGGAAAGATGAAATGAGAACTGGTCATGGAGGATCTGATATGCCCCGTTAAGGCATTCAGAATGTATCCTAAAGAAAAGGGAAGAAAAGGATTTAACCAGGAGGATAAAGTATTTAGATCTGCATTTTAGATAAATCATTCTGGCTGTGGTGTGCAAAACCAATTGGAAGGAGAGGGAGGACCCATTCAGAGGCTGCTGCAGTGAAACATGCAAAAGATGATGTTGGGCAAAGAAGTGGACGGATTTGGGGAATATTCAAGGAGTAGAATCTGCAGTGCCCAAGGGGAAACTGGCAGGTGAGGGAAGAGGAAATAGCAGAGGTGACCCAAGGTCTTGGCTTGAGCAAACAGGCAGACGGTGAAGCTTTCACAGAAACAAGGAAGATCAGGGGAATGGGATTGGGGGCCCAAGACAATAAAGCCAGCGTTGGACTCATTGAGCGTGAGAGCAACCAAGAGGAAGGCCTGGCAGGCCGTTGGAGCCACAGGCCTGGAGTTCCCGTGTGATGGGATAGTTTAAGGGACTGAGTCTTTCAGTATCTTTCTGCTTTGATGCTTTCTTCTACAAGTAGTTTATAACCCCAGTTTTCAAAAAGAACAAAGGAATATCTCATGTAACAGAAGCCAGAGGCAGGCCGACTGAGATGGTTGATTGGGCAGCTCAGTGATGTCATCAGGGCCCAGGTTCTGTCCACAGTTCTGCTCAGCCTCAGAGGAGCTCTGTCCTTGGGTCCCAAGGGGCTGCTGGAAGCTGCTGAGTGAGGCTTCTCTCTTCACAGCCAGAGGAGGGAAGCGAGAAGCCCCAGCACCTTGTAACTCAGATCTCCCAGGTGTGAGTTAAGAGGGCTTTCTCTTTGTCCGGCTAAGGCTGTTGGTGTGTCCACTCCTGGAGCAATGGAGTTGCCAGGGGAAAGGCAGTCGGTACGGGATAGATGTGAGGAGCCAACCAGTGTCCATTGTAAACATCGCCAGCATCTCCACCTCCATCAGTCACCTTCCACACACAGGCACACATATACCGTAGTCACCCTCTCACTTCATTTTGTTTTTTGTTTGTTTAAATTTTGTTGCTGTTGTTGAGGTAACATTGGTTAATAACATTCTGTAAGTTTCAGATCTCCTGCTCTATAATACATCATCTGCTCATCCTGTTGTGTGCTCACCACCTAACGTCCAATCTCCTCTCCTCACCACAATTTTCCCCCTTTATCCTCTCATCCTCCCTCCACTCCCTCCCCCTCTGCTATCCAAAATACTGTTAACAAAACAAAAACACAAAATACTGTTGTCTGTGTCCAAGAATTGGTTTGTTTTTTGTCCACTTGTTGCTTTTTGTTTAATATCCCATACCTGAGTAAAATCATGTGATTCTTGTCATTTTCCGTCCAACTTATTTCACTTAGTATAGTAGTCTCGAGATCCATGTGGTTGCAAATGGCAGTATTTCAGCACTTTTTTTGGCGGTGGACACACATTCTTTTAAAAATATATATATATTTTATTGATTTTTTTACAGAGAGGAAGGGAGATGTTTGACAGAATTAGAAACATCGATGAGAGAGAGTCATCGATCAGCTGCCTCTAGCACACCTCCTCCTGGGGATGTGCCCGAAACCAAGATACATGCTCTTGACTGGAATCTAACCTGGGACCCTTCAGTCCGCAGGCTGACTCTCTATCCACTGAGCCAAACCGGTTTCGGCTGGCCTCATATTCTTTATACCACTTGCCTTCTCTCCCTTTGACTCAGTGGCAATTATTACCTCAGAGGAGAAATGTCACTACAGAAAAGCAGACAAAAGTTTTAGAGTTACAAATGTTTTCAAGTGAGCAAAACTTCAAGTTTGCAAACTTTCAGACCAGAGTCTGTGCCTGTGACATACATGGGATAAAAGGAAGAAGGTGAATGGGAGACGGGGGCGGTGCCTCTTGGGTGTGCTGCGTGAGAAGAAGTGAAATGACCTGAGTGTATAAAGTGAGGGAAGAGAAGGGCCTTGGGAGGCTCCTAGAGCAGCAGCAGAAGACAATCTGGAGGATGAAGCAGCAGAGGTGAGGAGGAGGATTAGGTGAGCGCGGCCCCAGGAAGCCGCTGTCAGGAAGGAGTGGCTGGACGCCCAGGCTGGATGGCCAGGCTGGACGACAGTAGGGACATTTGGGTCTTATCTACAAGGAAGATGTTTGAGACCTCCGTGAGATCCAGCCAGGGAGGGTCAGAGACAAACCTGCTCAAATGAAGAGTGAGTGAGAGATGAGGGTGGGGAACAGACTAGCCTCAAAATGTTTGACAGTGAACAGAAAAAAACAGAGCAAAGAAAGACCTGTGTTTGAGAAGTGAGACTTTGGAGAAAAGGGAAACTTGGCCAATAATTTTCAAACTGTGCGTCGTGAAGCACTGTTATACAGTTATTGTGTCAAGATCAATATTTTTGAAGAATAGAAACATTTTTAGTGCGGCAAAACTTTCATTTTCAAGTATTTATGCACATGTGCACTGGGTTGCCATATAAAATTCTTTTTTTGCCTTAGATTTTGGTAAGAAAAAAGAAAGAAGGAAGGAAGGAATGAAGGAAGGAATAAAGGAAGGAGACAACCAGACTGGAACCTGTTTAAAAGCTGAGGAGAGCTAGAAAGAATCAAGTTGTCATGAGAGGGCCCAGCCATGTACAAATGACATCACCCCAGACTAGGCTGTGATTGAAGAGTTGTAGGAAAACTCAAACTCCAATTCCAATCAGGAGGATCTGATGCTAACCTCAGGAAGACAAGGTGGGATTTGCCTGTAATTAAGAGAGCTTATCCCACATTGATTTTATTGCGCTCTGCTCGTGGGGAAGGGAGGACATCTACAAGAAGGTCATCGCAAAAGCAAGGCTGTGGCCACGTCCACTTCATCCTCTTCCCGGAGAGGATCAGGCTGTGCCGGGCACCAGGTCCTGGGCCCCAGGGCACGCCCGCTGCTGCTGTGGACATTCCTCAGGGGCCACTTGCCGTGAGTGGAAGAGGCATTCAGTTATTGGGGTTACAAAGAACAGAACAGAACCAACTACCTCAGGCCCTTCATTGTGAGGTTACACACAAAGGCAAAGGGGATGAGAACTGCAGCTGCCTGGGGTGGAGTGGCAGTTGCTTCACTGG